TGTGCTGAATGGCTATAATTTTGTTCAGATGACTACAGAACCTGGAAAAGCTGTTGCTGCTACTGATGCATAACATACTGCTATTATTGGTCTTTTTATATAAGTATAAATATATATACATATATATATATGTATATAATTTGAATTTTTGGAAACTTTAACTGTGCTGTTGACTTTGGAAAAAGGTTATCCCAATTTACTGTGCTGAGTTGGCATTGAACAGAAATTAACAACCATATTGGTCTAGAAATGTTAATTTTTTTCCATTTGTACAGAGGTAATGCCCTGTATTAAATATGTAAGGTCATATCTACGTGGGTTTGATTACAGAAACTAATAAAGTATTCTCTAAATAATGAAAACAAAGAATAAGATAAGACTACAAGAGCAAGAAGCAATTTAAATATGTTCAGGGACCATTTTCATCTTCAGAATTAAGGATGATTTTAATGTTACATCATTGCCTTTTCTCTTTTACTTTCCTTTTTAGTTTTATTTTAGGATTCCCTATTTTTAATGTTCATACAGAGATTTCTTTAACTGAAATACCGAATAGTTTCTTTGGTGAGAAAAACTATAATAGTACACAGGATCCTAATGAGATAATGAATAATGTGAAATAGAAAGTAAAGGGCTAAAGGTGTAGGGAAAGTGGGAAGGGTGGGGGAAAGGTAATAAGGGAGAGGAAAAAATATGAAAAAATGGAAATAAAGTGTTTATAAGTGGGGAGGGGAGGAGGGGGTGAAGGGAGGGCAGGGACAAGGGGAAAAATGAGAACCAAGACCTGTCATGTAAAGGTACAAGGTCCCAATAATTAATGTAACTGTATTGTATACCTAGATTGTTCCAATGAACTCAATAAAAACAACAACAACAACACATACATTAACATCTTTTGTCTTAAAAGAGAAACAAATAACACTCGGTGCCGTAGGTTTGCCACCACGGGCTAGACTGCATTTCTATCTTGTGCTTGATCCCAGGCAGAAGAGAGCCCTGCTGCAGAAAAGTTTCTGGTGGAGCTTAAGGGAGGGGGTTGCAGAGGAAGTGACACAGGAGATAGGAATGGCAAAGTTGGCTGCAAAAATGAGCAAGACTTGTCCATTACAGGGTCCCAGGACACCACCAAATAGGTCTCAGGACCCTGTGGAACTTCTTAGGAGCTCCCAGGAGATGTGGATGAGGCAGCATGTACTTTTATTTTTGCTTTTATCTTCTTTTTCTCTTGTTCTGCCCAAGTTCATTCTTCAGAGCTGGTCTCTTCCTTACCCATATATTCCACCCTTTTAAAACAAACTTTGGCATTGTTTTTGGCTTATCTTGTCCAATATTATGTTTGAGACAAGAAGGACTCAGAATACTTTCGATTGGTGAGCCATTTCTAAAAGAGCTACCTGACAACAGAAGGAATATTGGCTGTTTCACAGGGCACTTGGCTGCTTGGATCTATGGCCACAGGCCCTCCAGGATGGCACTTCTGGTATATTACTTGCCTCACGCAGGAAGGGGGAGCTCTGAGTTAGTAAAATAGGACCTGGCAGATATCTTCCCAGTGTTGATCCCTTTGAGAAGAATTCAGATTTCTGAACTGCCCTTGGAGGAAATGCCTAGATATAACTAAAAACTTTTATTAATCTGCCCTTTGTGCTTTTTTTCAAACCTCCCCTCGGTAGCTACATGATATGGGGGCAGTTATTAAACTTCTTTGAGATTTTCCTGTATAATGAAATACCATAATGACTCCTACTTAAGTGGCTGGAGGTTTTTAGCTCAGTGGTGCTGCCACCTGCCTCTCAAGCACAAGGTTCTGAGTTTGATCCCCAGTAAAAAAAGAAAGCAATTTAAAAAAAAAGATTCCTACTTACAGGGTCGGGGATTCAGCTCAGTGGTTCTGCCGCCTGCCTTGCAAGCTGAAGGACCGGAGTTCAATCCCCAGTACCAG